AACTTTATCATTGCCCATAATTTTGTTATTTCTAAATAGATTTCCTTCATACTTGGATTATAGAACATTCCTTTGAACAACACCTTCAAGTAGATGAAGTTATAACCTTCAGTAATCAATGACCTTGGCCTTTAAGGTCAAGTTCTTCAATTTTGTTGTAATTGGCTTATAATAACCTAAATGGTATTTACCAAGTCTTACGGATTGTCTTCATATTTGAGCACAACTTTCTTATGGACAATGTTTTAAAGAAGATCTAAATAATTTAACAGTGACTGATAAATGACCTTCACCATGAGGGTCAAACTATTGTAATTTCACTTTTTTAAGTTTACTATAATTTTGAACTTGACCTAAATTTGGCATTGACACTAAAAGTCAAATAAGTGAATTTTGCTCTAATCGGTTATATCTTTGTTATTTATTTATGGATTTGATGTTACTTTTAAATGGGCAAAAGAGCACTTATAACAAAACTGACATGTTTATTAATTCAAATATGACCTTGATCTTTTTTATCTTGACCATCAAGGTCAAATTATTGATATTTGCTTAAATTGTCATATTCTTGTTATTTATTTACAAATTTGATTTATCCCTGGACAAAAGAAATCATATGACAAATTTGACATGTTGAAATATTTTTATATGACCTTAACGTTGAACTGATTTTGACTTTCAAGGTCAAATGATTGAAATTTGCTTAAATTTTCATTTCTTTGTTATTTATTTACAGATTTAATTTATATACTTGGACAAAAGTACACTTAAGAGAAAACGGACATTTTGAATTAATTTAGATTGACCTTGACCTTAAAACTACTTTACCAGACAAAGCCAATCCATTGAAATTGCTTAAATTGTCATAACTTGGTTATTTATATTTGATTTAGTAATGATGAGTAATTCAAATTGTGACCTTTTATGCAGAAATGGGGGTTAAGTCTTTCTAAATTTATTAAGAGTGAACCATTATTGCACTAAGGTGACATAATGTGACCTTGACCTTTGGATGACCTTGACCAACAAGGTCAAGTGAGAAATTAGAACTATATTTTGTTCAAGAAAATAATGTTTTCTAGGAGTATAAATATTCTTTACTACAATAGTGTTAGACTTTAGAAGTAAGAAAAAAGTCAAGCATGACCCAGCTTGGCTCTTGTTTCTTAGGAATTTGGAAGTTTAAAAAAATCAAGCTAATGGTATAGAGGATGTTCAGACAGTTTGGATTTGCTATAACCCTTATCTTCCATAGGACTTGTCAAGTTTTAATTATTGGTGCTGTCCATTAGCAATTTTAGGGATCCCAAAATGAAAATTAAAGTGTGTCAGTCAACATATGTGTGGAGCTTGGTCAGAATGCACATTTTTTAATGATGTTAAGGCTGTTATAATTCTCTTTCTGTTCCAGTAGATTAATGGTGTCAGAAGGAAAATGAAAGAGTGAAGGTTGGCAAATGAATTTATTTGACAAGTTAAATAAAATTATATTATGCAAGCCTCCGGCAGGCATATTATTCATCAAGTTTAATAAATTCAGTAATGAACCATTAATATTCTGTTTATCATATACCCAGAATATTTAAGACTGTTTAAAATGAAAAAGAATTGTTTTTCATTGACGCGCCAATAGTGTAACGCTAACATTTAGCATGTCTTAAATTTTCACTATGCTTATGTAAGGCAAATGACGTCACATCAAAGTATATGCACGGCTGTTTAATACCGCAAAAGTGGCACCCTTGTATGTGATAAAATGGTTTAATGAACTTACCACATGTACATACATAATGAATTATGAGGTTCAATTTTATCTCTATATTCCTTTTTTGTCATAAACAATTTTATTCCCATATATATATTCTATATTATTTCCATGGAGAAGATATCTTAATTAGAGGCTAATTTGCATTTATTTTCTGTAGGCAATTCCGACCATACCAATATAGCATTTCTTAGAACATGCCTGAACTATTGTTTTCCAAGAATTTGAAATCTATTTATGCGTAGGTTTTGTATTAGGGTGATAATTTGTTGCAAAATATCTTCAGCACTGCCTGTAAAGAAGTACTAGAAAGTTAAAATGTTCAGTGAATTTTAACTGTAGCTGCAGCTACTGTTTAAAATTTGAGCCGTGTCATGACAAAACCAACGACCAGCATGGATCCAGACCAGCCTGCGCATCCACGCAGTCTGATCAGGATCCATGCTGTTAGCTATCAGTTTCTCTACTTTTTAAAAGGTTTAAAAGTGAACAGCATGGATCCTGATCAGACTGCGCGGATGCGTAGGCTGGTCTGGATCCATGCTGGTCGCAAACCCATTATGTTGGTTTTGTCATGACACGGCTCATTTATTTTGATTAAATTCATATATACCCTGACAATATGAGCTATAATATTGTAATTACAGAAAATTTCGTCCTATTGTTAGGTATTATTATTTGTTGATTATAGAACAGTCTTCCATTGTTAGATAATTACCGTTAGATAATTACAGAGCTCGTCTTGGCGGTTACTTCTGAATTACAAGATAATATTATTGTTAGATAATAGTATGTCAATGATTCTACTCAGGTGCCTTAAATGATACATGTCTTACTGTTAAATAACTTATAATACAGAAAATCTTACTGTTGGATAATTACAGAAAAGTCAGACTGTAAGATAATTACAGAATAATCAGACCGTAAGATAATTACAGAACAATCTGAATGTAAGATAATTACAGAAAAATCTGACTGTAAGATAATTACAGAAAAATCTGACTGTAAGATAATTACAGAAACACTCTGACTGTTAGATAATTACAGAACAATCTGACTGTTAGATGATTACAGAACAGTGACTGTAAGATTATTACAGAACAGTCTGATTATAAGATAATGACAGAACTTTCTTAATGTAAGAGATTTAGAGTATTTTTGTAAGATAATTTCAGAACAGACTACTGGGGCATCCATGACTTTCTGGTTTAGGTTGTTGACTTTGAATAGATTGCTCTTGAACCCTGCTGCAGGTTTGAATCCTACCAGGGTTTCTTTCATGTGAGGAAGCTATATCTAGCTATAAGCTTACAGAACATCATTGGTTCTGCTCAGATCTGCTGTCTGAGATAATGCATGTAGCGTCACCAAAGGTCTTCCATCATCAGTAAAACTGGAAATACACTTTAAATTTCTAGTGTTATTTATAACCAAAGAACAGTCTTATTGTTAAATTAACAGTAACTATTATACCTAGGTGCCTGATATAATTTACAAAGCAGCATACGGGGCTCTGCTTCTTGCGATACAGCTTAAAGCAACAGAAAATGTGCAACTTCAAAAGAAAAAAATAAACCGGGCTCTCCTTCTTGCAATAAAGCTTTAAGCTTCAAAAGCGCACTAAATACAACAGAAAATGTGCAACTTCAAAAGAAAAAAATAAACCGGGCTCTCCTTCTTGCAATAAAGCTTTAAGCTTCAAAAGCGCACTAAATACAACAGAGAATGTGCAACTTCAAAGGAAAAAAATAAACGAGCACAGCATTGAAAGCAAATATTCATTCATGTATTTTAACCTTTATACTTCATATAAAATCTTATTATATGACGTGTATTATGTATATATATAGCCGTTTATTAACTTTATTGATTAAAATTTCAGCAGCTACATGTTTGATAAATAAGTAAATTAACGATGAATTATACTTCCTCGTTTCTTATTACGAGGCTGACTATAATTAATTTTGATAGACAATAATTTAGTATCCTGCTATGGTTTTAATGAATATACTCAACGACCTGTTTTAAGGATGATTATCTTAAGATATGATGATTGTCATTTAGGGCTTAAAGTCACGCGTGGATAAAAAAAAATGTGTTTATCACACATAAACCATGGGCGAAGGAGTGTAATAAGGCCATTTAATAGAAACAACATTATTCTAGTGTCGTTACAATGTGATGTCATTTGCGTGATATATAAACATCAGGCATTAAAGCGCTCTAATATAAGCGTAATACACTATGCGTACGTCAATGAAAAATGACATTTTTTTAACTAAGACCTGTTCTTAGTAAATATAAATACATGTATAATATCTTTATATTATTGTAGATTTAATAATAAATTTATTGAACTAACTGAATAAAACAATATTATGCTCTCTAGAGTCGCATAATGTGGTTTTATAAAATCTGTTAAATATTATTTAGTATTAAATCTACACTGATTCAATATCCTCTATTTACAATAAGTTGTTTTTTTAACCCTCAATATCTGCTGAAAAATTGAAATGGACTTGTTCATGTCCAATTTTGGAACAATCCATGATCAAATTTGGTAATGACAAGAAGAAAATTTGAAGTTAGTCAGCCAACAGTTTAGACACTGGCGCTGTTGAAGGTGTGTGATTAACCTTTGCAACACTTATATAATCCCTGAGCATTAATGTAAGTGATGTATGATTAACTTTTGCCACATTGACATAACCTATCTAACACATTGTGACTGTAGCCTGACCAAAGTCTGCTGTTATAGGTGTTGAAATTCCTTGAATTATCCATAGACAGTCAAGTCAGTAGGATAAAGGATATAGAGCTTGTTAAATCTTTAATCTAATGGATTTGCGCAGCATTTGAGCTTCGAACAATCCATTCAAATTTTAAGGGGTTAAAATGTCAAAATATATAGTAAACTCCTCTTATAATGATATAGCATATAACTAAGCTGTTGCCGTGGTCCTGACTCATCTATTTAAATTTGTTGCCTCTCGAATATAATGTCATAATTTCAGATATAACAATATAAATTTTGGCAGTCCCAGGAATATGGGGATGTCGTTTAAAGTGGAGTTTACTGTACAAGAAAATTGAGCTATCATGTAACCAACAGAATAGACTGTCTGATGACTTACTACATGCTGGTGGTAAAATGCTTATCACTTTCAGCCCAGATTATAACTTAATATTTATATATACTTATTTAATTATTTTTGCATTGTTTGAACTATTTCAGTCTGTGTTATTTCATTTTGACTGTGTGACATCCAATAACCAGAATATGGTGGAGGTGAGCCTGACGTTAAAGAGCAGTCCGGTACCCGGCGAGAAATCACTGACCCCACTCTCAAAAAGCCTGAAACTTGCACCTGCCAGTAAGTAATGTAGTCTTTCTGAGTGTAATATATGTTAATAAATAAGTGATTTGATATTGGCCCATGATTTTACAGTATATCACTTTTCGGCCCGGGGCCGAAAAAGTGATATAGATATTGGCACTGTTTTAAGGCAGGCCATCGTGTTATTGAACGTGGCAGGTGCTTTTTTATAGGACTAATAACGTATAGTTATTTAATAATCTGTCTTACAAATGTCCTGGCTTAATATGTCTCGATTATTTGCTCTCCAAAAGACAACAGTACTAAAACATGTGCTAATATTTTTATGTGATGGCTGGATGCCTGTAACATGATTATCCTGTCTGGACTAGTTCTCTCTATAACCTGGTATTAGAACTTTATAACCATTAAAACCTGCTAGTTATGTCATCACTGTCAAGTAAAAAAAGTCTGTAAAAGTGAAGTAATTCAATTCAATTCAGACATCTTTATTCAAGTTTGACACATATGATATCATTGTTGTTACAATTACAAGAAGTACGGTATGCTATTGTCCATCCATCCATCTGCACTACCAAACAGGGATAAGGAGGTCATCTAACTGTGATTACAATAGAGTTCATTCTGTACCAATAGAATAAGAGGGAAATGGCCTTTTATAAAAGAAATGAAAATACAGTCCAACCTCAATTATTTATTTAAATTGCCGAGGCCTGAAAATTTACTTTGAATAATCTATGGTTTCGAATAATTGAATCTGAATAAAGTAAAAGACAACTACATCCACTCAACTTTGACTTAACGCTAATCATAGCAAAACTACACACTTGTTTCCAGTAATCAACCAAGAAAAATAAAAATTAACAACAAAAAAATGCATAAAAATAAAATTTTATTGGTATTGAAGACATAATTACTGTACTTGCATTTTATTGTACATTATGTAGCACATAATTTATATAGCGTGTATAAGAAAATTATCGCTATCATATTCAAGCATTAACATCAGACACGGTGCAGGATTTTAATAATAGATAAGATACATATTCACATTTGCACAAGCAATATTAGGGTGTCTCGTGCTAGCACAGACATAATGCACTGATTTGTAAAAATAATTTTCCAGTTTTTATATACAAATACATAATACATGTTTGCTTGTGAAATTCTATTATAGTTGTATTATTGTTGGTTTCAACAAGATCAGTTTTGAAGAATTTCATTGATTGTGTTTACATGTTGCATTTTTGTATGCATGTATGTTGTCAAGTTTGATTTTTCCTCTGCAGTAAGTATATTATTGACAAAGTTATGTCTCTTAAAATATTTGCAAAGAAATACATTTTAGTTGGTTTAGCTTCTGTTGCTAATATGCTATTACCTCAAAAATAACAAATTAAAGAAGAAAATTAAATTGCCATAAGTGGAGTTCTTGCTTACCCCATTTAATATTGTTTTTTTTACAGAAATTGAAATGACCCGTAGACTAGAAAGGCATCAGAGAGATACTTTATTCGGCTTTATTAAAATAATTGAAGGCACTACCCGAACAGGTTAAAAATGCACGATAACTATAAAATTATACTCTATATATAATTATCTAAGGAAAAACAAAATTTTCAAAATATAATCAGATATTATAAAAAACTGAGAAATTAACAAATGTGTATAGTTATAATAATATGTATATGGTGTAAGGTATAATTACTAGTATCTATTGCTCTGGTGAAAGTTTCACCTTTCTCTAACAATATTTGTATTAAGGTCGATTGACCTGCTTGACGAAAATAACTTACTTATATTTCATAATTTATGCTTTGATGGAAGTATACCTTTTCTCCTGTAACTTTCATATAAAAGTCTTGGCCTGCATGTGGTAACTTAATACTGACTAATATTTATGCTTTGGTGAAAGTTTAACTTTTCTCCACGAAAAGTTGTTTTAAGGTCTTGATTCAGGTCATTGGTGAAGTAGATAAGGTCACAGACTTTAAAACAGCTGTGGGTTTGAATCCTGCCAGGGACTTTAGATTCTTTTCATGCGAGGAAGCTTATAATCCAGCTTGCTAACAGAACATATAATGGTTCTACTCAGGTGCCCATTTGTGCCTGAAATAATACACAGAGGGGCACCTTAGGCATTTATTTACCAATAAAGCTAAGAAACCATATGAGCCGTGTCACGATAAAACCAACATTATGCGTTTGCGACCAGCATGGATCAAGACCAGCCTGCGCATCCACGCAGTCTGATCAGGATCCATGCTGTTCGCTATCAGTTTTGTTACTTGTTAAGGGTTGGTAAGGGAACAGCATGGATCCTGTTCAGACTGCGTGTATGCGCAGGCTGGTCTGGATCCATACTGGTCGCAAACGCACTATGTTGGTTTTGTCGTGATGCGGCTCATTTTTTAATATGTCTACCATTACTTGCTACATGTAACACTATCCACAGTATTGTCTATTGTTAAATATGAAACCAACATGAAACTAACACTGGTCCCCAGGTTCATGCTGATTTTTGTGAAAATTTAGATAGTATTTTGAAAGTAAAACTATTGTTAGGTATATTAAGTAATTTAAACTAGCATCATGATCATGCATTTATAATTGTCTTAAATTACATTAAATCTACAAAAAAAGATATAATGCAAATTTAATATGAGCCACGTCATGACAAAACCAACATAATGGGTTTGCGACCAGCATGGATCCAGACTAGTCTGCGCATCCGTGCAGTCTGGTCAGGATCCATGCTGTTCGCTATCAGTTTCTCTACTTGTAATAGAGTTGGTAAGCAAACAGCATGGATCCTGAGCAGACTGCGCGGATGTGCAGGCTGGTCTGGATCCATGCTGGTCGCAAACGCACTATGTTGGTTTTGTCGTGACACGGCTCAATTATAAAACCTTCAAATCCTCTGTATAATTATAATTATATCATGTGGCAATGAGATAATCTGATAACTATGGTGATAATGATAAATGTCAGTCATATTTTTCACATGATCATAATGTAATGTTGTAAATTGATTATGATTAATTACTAATGTCATTTTTTTAGATTTAATATATGGCCGCTTGGTGAGCAGCATTTAGGTACTGCCTGGCATAGTGGTAGGAGTTGGGAGGTACATGATATGCTCATAAGTCAGAAATAGCTGTTGACACTATAATAAACAAGACATTTACCTTTACCTTTTTATATGCAGCTGTAAGGGTATATAATGTGTAGATTCTTTTTTAATGAAAGAAATGAAGTTAATGTTGCCATGGCATACCATATTTATGTTACAAATTATAGGTATTTTTATGTGATGTCAGCTGGCGACTGAGTCTTTAACTGATATAAACACAAATAAATGTCAACAAACAGTATCACTCTCTCTATTCCCCTCCCTGCTGTAAAAATTACATACAATAGTGTGGGAGTTTAGAAACTGGGAGTTTAGAGGTTAGAGGGAGATCTGCTTAGTGTCTTTTGTTTAAGAAAGTCTTATTGGAGAGGTCATCAGACCTCCTCATAGTGTTTGTTTCTGAAACGGGGTACCTGAGACATAATGGTGTACCTCAGAGGTCTTGCTCCATCAGTATAGCTTGAAAGTTCCTTTACAGTGTTGGTGTGAAGTAAAATCAAACAAAAACAGTAACAGTGATTGCTGTCAAAACCAGTGCTAAGAGATGCTAAGTTTAATAATTTCAGGTCAAATTAACACAAGTAAGCAATAAAAGTTATGGTTGGTAGATACACAAATATTTGGAAATCTAATGAATCCATTCACTGCTACATTGTAATCTATAATGCTTAAATTGTCATAACTTTTTATTGATTATTTATGGATTTGATTCATTCTTGGATAAAAGAACACATATGGCAAGTTGGACATGACATTGTGACCTTGACCTTTAATTGACTTTGACTGTCAAGGTCAAAAATGAAGTTTGAATTTCATTTCTTACAAAATATTATTTTTTGTAGGAGTACTCTTTGCTATAATATTCTTCCTGATGTGTTTGACTTTAGCAATAAAAAAAGTTGATCATGGCCCCAGCTAGATGATGGGTCTTGTTATAATATACATGTACATGCAATGATTTTAATAACTTAATTAAAAGTTAAAATTACAATATATAATTAGAATTCATATTCTAGTATAAAGGTAAAGGTCTTATTTATTATAGTGTCACCCCTACTGAAAGGGCCAGCCATTTCTGACTTATGAAACACCTTTTGCTTGCATACCATGTACCTCCCAGCTCCTACCACTATTCCAGACGCATATAAATCGGTAACCATTCATTTTAACTGCCTCTGGGCTCACAAAGCGGCCATTTCGGTAACGGTATAAGTCTGCACTTTGCTAGTCTCCTTCATGATTTATGCGACAGGGTTAAATATAAATGTGCTAGTAAGCCATCAGATACCTAAACTTCATTTTGTTGGCTAGCTCCACCTACTTAAATGTTGCTAGGAAAATTTTGTTAATATTGTTGTAACACTTCATTTGAATTGCTTGTGCGACTTACCATAGACATTAATTAGGACAGGTGAATTTCTAAAACAAATATTGACAACATAGTTTCATGGTGTTGCTCTGATTTTTTTTTGTTTTGTTTTTTTAAATTGTTAATACATTTTTTTGTTTGATTACAGCTCAATATTATAATTATTTCAGGGGTGGCACAGTTAACACGTTATCTGTTTAAATTGGCGAGCTATATATTATCGAGCTATATATTATCAACGTGTCCATGCTAAAGAATTCTAAGATTGTAAACATTTACTTTGTTCTTGTTTGAAGACATGATATGACATCTTGCTCATAACTTGTTGCACTCAACATTTTATTACAAAACATATCCAATTACAGTGCAACTATTTTCAATTATGGCCAGATGTGTTTTGTAATCATTGTTTACAGAGTACAGTCGAGACTGTCATATGTGACTTTCCAAGGGACATTCAGAAAAAGGTCACATATGACAGGGAGTCTCTAAATACAGTCTCAAAGAAAATTAAATTTAAATATCATCTATCTGTCTATATACCACTGTGACTTAAAAATCATGTATCATTATGTTTTGTGATTGATATTGTTACTGTGTGTTTAGACCACATTTGCAAAAAAATTTATATGGATATAATTATGAAAATAAAACAATTTTCAAACATCAAAGAATATGTAGAATGTGTACTGCAAATATTTGTGCACATTATAATTAATCAATTAATTACATGCATTGATTTCTTATTGGAAAATTTGACATAGAATTTATAGAAAAATAAAGTTCTAATTACCTCCCTTTAATGGCCTATATTTACATGCAATGTTAAATTGGGTGATATCTTTATAAATAATGCTTATTGGAACTTACAATATTGACAAATCTTAATTTTAGCATCATATTTATGAAATAAAACCATGAAAAAAATGTGTTACAGTATCTTTAAACATATCCATATCCTTTCGTATCAATATTTTTCCGTATTAATTATGCAGCCATACTGGCATAGAAAGGTAAATTTAAAAAATGCTGCCTAAAAAATCTTCCGCTGGCACTCTATAATTAAAAAAAATCTAACACAAGTCTTAGCCCAGTTTACTCAGGCCATAATGTACATTACACACACATCGATTGCATAATGCTTCGCTACGTCACTCGATACCTGTACTGTATACATGTTAACTGTGTAATTGAGATAGAGGTGTGTAGACTTTGTTTGCTACTGGATTATAATTGGACTTAATTATTTTGGCCCTCTGGGGTGTTATAATAGGTATTATTTATCTGATTAACGGACAAATAAAAGGTGTGAAAGTCGTTTAAATCAGATCAAACATTGCATTTGGACCAGACAATTAAGGTCGCTTGTCACATATGACAGGGAGTCGTTTAATTCAGATCATTTATATAGGAAACCACGTTGGGAGTACTGAAACAAGGTCGGATAAGACAGGGAGTCGTTAAAATCAGGGGGTCGCTAAGGCAGTCTTGACTGTACAACTAAAATACACACCCAAATCCTTATCTTGGTGTCATAAAAAAAACCCATAGGTAACATTTAAAACCAGCATGGAACTTGTTATACTATAATTATTACCATAGTTATACTGGAATTTGTAAAAAAAAAACAAAAACAAAAAACATTTAAACTGAAAAAAACAACCACATGACACCTTTACAGTAATTATGAATTCTCACTACAATAGTCTTACTTCCAGTATTAAAAATATGTTGGGTCTTTTCCCAGCTAATCCAGAGGTACAAAAAAACTTTTTTTACAGTAACAATTTTGAACATAAGCTATTGTGACCTGTAGTGTACTGTGAAGCTATAATGGTAAAAGTTTGTTTGTACCAGGGCCGAGGGTGGGGGGGGGGGGGGGAACCCACTTTAACCAAGTTCTGAATAACAAATATTATACAATGATTATTATATAAGCAGGGCCACTGACTAACTGACTAAAAGCTTAACTAACGATGCATGTATTTATACTTAAAATTCCTAACAATTAAGATGCTTGAATTATAATACCTGTGTAATGTATACATGTATGTATATTGGAACACATATCAAATAATTATTAATAAGTAAA